CAGCCATCAAGTATGGGTGAAAAAATATGCAAATTTATATGACATTTTAGTCACAATATAAAATATTCGAAAATTAACATGGAAACTTTATCAACATTTTAACTGTGTCAAATCAAAAGGTAAAATTATATTGTATCTGAAAAACCATATATTACTACCTACTACCTTAGTAAGATGTTCTTTTATGCTGACTCTTGGCATAAATATAACGACCTTCACCTGAAATAATGTAACTGAGGTGGCAAGATCAAGAATTATGTAGGATGAGATCAATTCAAGATAAATATCAGACAAATTATTTTCCCTATTATATCGTATCTTTGATACACATTTGGTTTAGAAAAAAATGTCAAAAACTTGTACTGATTGTAAAAATAATTTTAGTGAAAATATATCTTGACCATTATGGATTTCTAGCAAGTAACAGTCAATTCCATCCAGTACTAGTATATCTCTTATATAAAAAGATTGATGAACTACCAACTTATTCTTTTCTCACTTTCTGATTTTATCAGCAAAATTACTTATTGATCTTATGTCACTTATATACTAAGATACATAAATGAACTCCTAGTAACCAGTTTAATTTTGCCAGAGAGAGAAAGAGAGAGACAGTGATTCTATCATTGCAACTGGGCTTTCGTTTCCCTGAGAAGTTTGTGATTCAACTTTCCATTAATAACAATAACACAATATGGCACAGATGAGGAATATCTAATGTGTTTGATGGTCACCCCGATGTTTTATTGCTTAATTGCGCGGTTACAAAGAAATAGGTGCTTGTATCATAAAAGATAGTTGAACCTAAGATACAGTGGAGCAGTTCAGCTCGCCGTGCATCTCAATGTACTAGGGCATCACTATGGCACCATTGTCCCTTTCATTGCTACACTTTGTTGAACATATTGTGGACATATCATCCTCATCGCTAGCGAAACAGCTTTCAATTGAGACGACAGGGGTATAACGTATCTTGAAAAGTTACATTTTGTCGGTTTTTTGACATTATGTGTGTCCAATAAATACCACGACAAACTTAAGGAGAAGGTAAGCTTTGGACTGACCTCCCTAATAACAAAAACTTACCTATATAAAAGTGCCACCGTTTTTTAGATATTGAATTTTTTCTTAAATTTAAAAAAAAAACGAACCTTTTCATCTGGTCTTTAGCTGCATGTACAAATAAGGTTATACTTTGTTCACTTTTTCTATAAAATACTTCTATTTTTTCCTCGCCTATTGACAATTGTACATATAACAAATAACCCATTAACTATTTATTCACAGTATTATACTTGAAGTAAAACAAAATACCAAACAAATCTAAATCAAGACGATTACGCTAAGAAAAGGAATGTCGAAATGCAGTAAAAGCACGATTCGCTTACTCATTTGGTTGGACCAGCGATAAAGCGCTTTCACGCCAGACACGTCATGTCAAATACCATTGAGTCACAGGCTGTATCCCGTGAAATAGATATTTCAAACCTATTTCGCTGGATTAAAGGTAGCCTATGTGCTATCCTAGAGTAAAATCTATCTCTATCTTCAGCTGCATGTACAAATAAGGTTATACTTTGTTCTTTTTCTTCTATAAAATACTTCTAGATAGTTGCTTTATCATTTACAAACGCGATGTAGTTAAAAGATATTAAGGAACCATGATAAAGAATAATACTTTTGTATTGTTACTGACTCGAGTCCGAATTTCAGTAAGTTTCATAAAATCATATCAGGAGCAGGTGATAATAATGTAGCTTTGTACTATTTAGCAGGTCACTGATCGGTAACCAGTGCAACTTGAATTTAAATCCAATAATTACATTGTAGTGTGTGTCAGTCACCTAGAAAAGGAGATATCACTTTTTTTCTATTCCAAATAGTACGTGTGCTGCCTTTCTGAAATCTGTATTCAATGAGAAATCTTTTTATTCAATATAATGCAGTTATAGCCCAGTACCTTTTTGTTTCATCACAGATGGTCAAAGTTGAGGAAAGGTTATAAATCTCAAAATGGTCCTTATTTGACCATGGTTCATTAATATCTTTTAACTATATTGCATTTGTATATGATAAAGCAACTATCTAGAAGTATTTTATAGAAAAAATAAACAAAGTATAACCTTATTTGTACATGCAGCTAAAGACCACAGACGAAAAGGTTAGTTTTTTTTTAATTTAAGAAAAAAATTCAATATCTCAAAAACGGTGACACTTTTATATGGGTAAGTTTTTGTTATTTGGGAGGTCAGTCCAAAGCCTACCTTTTCCTTAAGTTTGTCGTGGTACTTATTGGACACCCTGTATAGGTTCTCTGTGACATAGGTTTTCCTATGTCACCTTGGAACTAGTTGTTTACTTGATGTGCACTCATTGTGTTGCTGTACGTATTGCCTAAACGTCATGATGCTTGAGCTATCATGAATTGGCTTGTATGTGATAATATCTGCCTCGGAGATGGCATTATTGGAGATCTAAGCTGCAAGTACTATAGGAAAGAAACGGGCGAAACGGCAGTGCTTACGTGCTTATTGAGTATTTGTGTGCAAATGATCTGTGTTGATTATAATTCCCTTGATTTCTGGTCTCAAATACACTAAATTGAGTTGTATGCAAAGTTAGAAATCAGTTTCGCATTGACTTTACCCTATCCCAGAAATCACATATGCAATTTGCTGAATTTGAAAAATGAGAGAAATAAAAAATGAAAATCTTTGGTGAACTAACAGATGAGCAAATAGGCGACAGACAAGAATATTTATGAAACGTGAAAAGGTCATTTAGATTTTATACAAATTTATTTTGCGATGTGAAGTAGAAAATACTAAGCAGTGCCTAGATGTGAGGCAATGCGAAAATAGTGGTGATTTCCCGCAATGCTGCTCAAAATCCTTGAAATCGCAGAAAACCGAGGAAAATTATGATTTATTACTTTGGACATAATCTTTCTTCATAAAGGAAAACACATAAATAAACCGTGTGCCACATCTAATAGATATAATTCATTCATTTAGTAATAATTTTGTCACAGCTAATATCACTGATTTTATACACATGCAGTCCAATACAACAATCATTCAGATGCGATCTTGCTACTCTAATTCTCAACATATTTTCTTTCTGTCATATCTTCTCAGAGATATACTCTACAGACTATCTCGGGAAAGAATGCTGGTGAACTGCCTTGCAGCCTGGTCGTTGGGTACATCGTTGGGCACAGCGAGCAAACGCGAAATGAGCTATTTGCACACTAGCAGCTATCTAGCCATCAAGTTGACGTTTTATCGGTTTTATTTTACCATTTTGTAGGTATTTTACGTAATAACCCTGCCAGTGGCGTACTTAGTAACTATGGCGACAGATATTGTGGAGAGATGCGAGGTGAGGTGAACTGGTCCACTATGTCCGTGCTATTAGAATGCACTTAGATCGACGTCAAAAACTGCTATAGACACCCAAATGAAAAAAATTGACGAAGTATGGTTCAAAAGATCAGTGGATTGCCATACTACTGCCGCATTAGAGATGGGAAATACCTCTTGACAAGAATTACGTACCGTGACGAGTAACGCCATTATTGTTTTACTTTACACATGTTCAGAAGGTTACGACCCCCTAATTCAGAAATAGTGCATAAATAAAACTGACCAAGAAAAAAGTTGCAAGGCTTTGCTAGAATAATGACCATGACTTTCAAGGTGAATTAGAGGTCTTCTTGAAAATTTTATATGGAAGCGTTTTTTAACTTACCAGTGGAAACAGCGAAAAATTTGACGCTCTGAAATCTGATTTCACGTTGAGGGTCACACCTAAACATCCCTTTGTAGACCATAAATTACGCTTCAATTTTAAATTTTCAAGTTGATATCTAAGTAACCTTGAACATTTCCAAATGTAAGATGTCATTTTTCGCTCTTTCCAGCCCAGGCTCGAAAAGGTATGATTTCATTTAAGGTTTTCAAGTTGACCTTGAATGTTACTTTCAAGGTCATGATCAAGGTCATCATTAGATTGTTCTCTCAAAAGCACGCATCTTTTGTCTTAACCGTTTTTTATTTGAACAGTGTGTATAAGCTCCAAAAAAACATGTTTGCATGTTCCAAAACATAGCAGAATTAAGGAAATGGTGCAGGGTAATGAACAGGGACAGGGACGACAGCGGATTGCAAGTTTGGCAATTACACGACATTATACAATAATACATAAACTATATCTTAGAAAACTATAATTTGAGCGAAATCGCCATTTTTGACAAACATAGCCTGGATCTGCAATTTAGATTTTTCAAGAATCGATATTCAATTCGTTATAAGCGATTTTAAACTTGAAACTTAATTTTGAACGCGATCAAAACATGTTTTGCAAATATAGCCTCCATATTATTTTCTATTTCGATTTTTCAACTATCACTATCAAGTTCATCACATTTTTCTGCAAAGATAGATGTACAGGTGTATTAAAACGTCGTGGGCCGTGACCCTTACATTGTGTGGATAGGCAGAAGACATACAGGGTGACTTTGAAGTTGAGTCATTAATTTTTTTTAATGATTGTAGAAGGAAGATAAACCAAAATATGTGTGTAAAAATAAAAAAAAAATAAAAAAATTTTTTACCTTGTTTTATAAAGTATCCTCCCGACCAGTATTTCAGTGCGGACCTGTATTTGATCGTGAGGTCCCCTGTGAGGTCTTAAGTCACCTGATTCACGAGCCCGTTGTACTACATTAACAAAGGCACGAGGGGTTGGTTGCACTCGATTGGGAAACCGATCCGCATAAACATGTGCCATTTTTTATTTCGTTTGAGCCACGCAACAGACACTATTCACACGCGACACTGACAGTGACTGTATGTATAACTGAACTGAATAAAATAATAAACTGTACACAAACATCGTTCCAAATTCCTTCGCTTTTTTGTTTCCGATGCGATGAACCGGTAAGGCGAATTATATCCGTTGTTGCCAAACACGAGCACATGATATTGAGACAGGGCGGTACTCAAACTTCCAAAGGGCTATAACTTTGTTACTTTAATTTTACCAGAAAAATGGTAAAGGAAAAAAACATTTCTTTTGATCAGATCTATTCACTGTTAAAATAAATGACTCAACTTCGAAGTCACCCTGTATATTAGAGCGGTGGGAAGAATATTACCCTAATCACAAATAAATACTTTTTCGAGGCAGACTGTCTGGCACACTGGCACTCGGCTTTGAACAGCCAAGAGAGAATTATCAGTACTCATTGGCGTGCGCGTGTAGATTACGATTTTGTATGTTGGATTTCCTTTATGGTAGACCAGGGTTGTGAAGATTGTTTCTATACTGAATATGTGTAAAAGTTTCGGAGATTGTAGATGACTTATTGTATGAAACGTTAGTATTGAAGTTGGTATTGTTCTTTTTCTTGCATAAGCTTTGATAATCTGGGATGTAACGTTTATGTGTTTAAGTATGTTAATCAAATGTTGCTCCTAGATCGATTGGAACATATTACCACACGCTTCTATTTACATTTTATTTGCGAACCTTTTCAGAGAAACATGAACTTCAATATGATAATTTTACACAGATCTATAATAATATTTTTTCTTAAAAGGGATAAGAACCAGCACAAGGTTGTTTATAGTTAGGGCTGCTAGATTGTATATGTTTTTCACTGCTCTTCAAATCAGGTTTGAAAAGTGGTGATTACCACCTTCCCATACTGAATAACCCAGTCTTACTTCTTCCATAATTGATTTGTCAGGTACCAGCTACCTACGCTAATGATTCCGTACCACGCCACCGACGCGACGACGGCGAAACACATATAATGAGGAACAATTATAAACTAGTTATATTAGCTCTAAGCACGTCATTGAACACTTAAATAGTAGGGAAATAATGTTTTGTGAGGGAATCAAATTAAACGAATATCATTCTCAATGTTCCGTTAAAGTATAGGCGTTCTGTAATTAATTTATGTTGTATCACTACACCAACTTATTTAATAAATAGGAGTGTGACAAAAATTGCCGAAATAATTTGACTGACCTATAGCAGACCTAGTATCAGTTATGTTTTTAGCAATGCTTGTATTGTGACGCGTCTACTTCTCCCGCTTCTCCACAGATATTAAATCGCGCATGTCGTCTAACGGTCATGGCTCACGACGTTTTGAAATACCTCTACACTTATGAAATCGCCATTTTGGTCTTTCACAAATGGGTATCATAATCCTTATCAGCGAAGTATGTTTTTTTTATTTAGTGAATATTTTAGGACTTTTGAATCCATGCACTGTGGTGTCGATCCCGCGTGAGGGCTAATTATAAATGTTAATACCTGCCAAGATACAAATAATATATTGTGAATGGTCAGCTTGAGCGATGAGGATGAATACGATATGCAACGGCCGTCGCGTCGTCCGGTCGCGTGAATTCCGACCGAACTTCGACGCAGGAGGACGGTCGGCTACGGCACCCAACTTAGGAAACTTCCTAATTCTTAAGGCAGGTGGGGTGTCGGTAACTTTTTGAACATCCTGTATGCGGCCCCATGAGTGCTCAACAATCTTCAGACATTGTTGCATTATACTGTACTAAAACGCGGTAACAAATAGCAGTTGATCATTGGCAAAAGCGCACTTCGTATTGATCCGTACTTCCTAGCTACGCAGCCGCTATGAGTGCATTGTTTTGCATAACGTAATTATGAAAGCTATGGAATAGAAGCAAATGAATCAACGGATATGAATACAGGTCTACTAAGAGTTAAATTAATTTGTATCAGTACTTGCTGAAAGTAGTTGTATGACACTAGTGAATGTCGAGCAGATTCACTATGCACTTAAATAGGTAGGTTTAATGACAACACATCGTATAATTAATATAATAATCTATGTTGCAGTGGTATTATCTTCTTAGACGATTAATATCTTTTGGACGATTTGAACTTTTAGACTCCATTTGTTACTACAACCGGCACATTGACATTTAAATGCATAGATTCAAATGTTTTTCTATAAAAAGGCTGACGTAAACTTTATTGAGTAATCGCATGGGATTTTGTCATTATTAGCGTTCCCTATTAACAACTAATCATACATGAAAGGTAACACGCGCTACTTTCATTCAACATTTAAGACAACATTAGTGATCGGTAACATCGAATCAAGGTACTCGAAGTACTTTTTAGTACAGTGCTTCTTGGGTTACCCTTAGTGTTGTGGTGGCAATCGTGAAGTTTTGCCTACCATCGTAATCCAAGAATTACATATACTGAGATCAAATTCATTCATACTTAATAATCACTAGGCATTGAATCATTTCTCCTTACAAGATGGTCACCGCTAATAAGTTTCTCGCTATAATATCGGTACTTATGCTTAACGCTTTCATTTTGTTCCTCCAATCTGATAAGACTTTACTAGCACTTAATGGCAATATTTTGAATAATGTAATTAAGTAAAATTAATATAGGGAATATGTTTACCCTAACATTTTTAAACTCAGCTTGAGCTTGAGATTGACTTCAGACAATGTTTAAAGAAGAAATAAAAAATGTGCAACTTAACAATATTAAAGCAAAATATAAAACAATTAAGACATATATCTGATTTTAAAATAATGGAACAGTGCTCAGATGTGCCTCATATTCATAATGGACCAACTCGAGTATTTGGGAATGCCCGGTTGCGAGTCCTAGTCATTACGAGGATCGGCAGAGAACCATGGATGTACGGTACCGTATTGTATGTGAGAGTACAACTTTTTTGCAGAGCCAAGTGTCAAGTATGTTTCTTAAGTGGAAGCGACGCATAAGTCGAAGCTAAGCAAAATTTCGTACAAAAACAGGTTATTTTAGAGCATGTTCTGTAAGCGATTCACTATGTGTATATTGAGCTTAAGAACGAGTGATACCTAAACGAAGATTAAAAAAACAAAAACCTACAGATAGTTTACTAAAGCTTCTAAATATGATAAACTCCGCGTGTTTTCCTACCTATCAAAACCATAAATAAAACAATTTTAAATGTACACTTATTGAGATTAGATTTATGATATCAACATCAGAAAAATGAGTCTCGAAAATGTCTGTTAATTTCATACCTTGCTTGCTTATAGAGACTGTTTTGCACATGAGTTATACAACAGATGTAAAAAAGGTCTGAATATACAGGTAACAGGATGTATGCCGTATTATTTTGAAATTCATATCATAATTCATCATCATAATACAAATGTGTACTAGTACATCCAAAGAATGACTAAACTCAATACATATAAGTTTGATAATCTTATTATTGCTTTTTTGCATCAATCTTTGAAAACAGCAGTACAAACATCATAATCGCCAAAAATATGTACAATCACAGTTTCTCACATTTGGCTTGGAAAAAAACATTCAATTTATTTCAACAAATAATGTCAATAATCGTACAGCTCAAGGAGTACACTAACATATGGTAACGATGCTGGGTGGGAGACGTAGTATGTAACCTTCGCCGCACAGGATGGTGTACAAGTTTCAGAAACATGAGTGCGTCTCGCTCTAACATACGTTTACCTATATGGCTGGTACACGTTAAGTACAGGACCTCAATTATTCTCTTTCGATCTTGTAGATTGAAGACGCATTGTGGATAATACTTAAGACAGCTTCACATTTTCTCTTTGGTTCTTGAGGTTATTCTGTTGAGTTAAGAATACCTACGATGGGTTCTTTATGTATAAAAGTCAAAATTATTTGTATTTAACAAAATAATTTTAAGCATATCATCTTTTTAATTTGAAGACAAACATCCCAAATCATGAAAAATTAGAGGAGATTTTGATAAGAATCAAATGTTAAGCCACACAAGATTTAAAATATTTTTGTCGTACATGTTATCAGTAAAGAAAAGATTTAAAATATGTAGAATGAGCAAAATAATATGGAATACACCCTTAAATCACCAAAACAACGTAAAAAATATAAAATAACATCAAATTCAGTTTGTTTGTGGCTACAGTGTACATAAATGGCTATTTTACCTTGACAATTTTACGTATAAAGCAAGAAGTGCATGTTTGATAGACCTTTTGTAAAATAATAAAACATACGGTAAAAACGATTGTTTTTATAAGTGGTTATATAGTATTAATGCGTCATGACATATTTATTGATCGTTCGTAATGCATACATTAATTCCGCCTGCATTCTTGATTCTAGAATCATAAGATTGACGTGAACCTGAAACAATAGAGGTTAGTTTATTACATTGTATTAAAGGAGCAGTTGATTTAGGGACAGTATAAAATAATTGAAAATAAAACGATCTACTGAAGTAAATTAATATGACGACAGTTCTTATTATCTGTTGAAACCCAAAGAATTCAGACTAAATAGAAGGAGCCTGCCAAGGATTTGTTTGTCTCCTAATTTCATTTTATCGTCGTAGTTCACAGCGAATATTATAAAAAATAATGGCACTAACAGTTCAGAACAACTCCTCAGCGACAGTTTAAAAAGCACTTGTTTATTTGTATGAACAATTGAATGTTTATGCTCTGCATTTAGACTAAGTGTAGAAGTATATCTATATCCTGCACGTATTCCACATACTTTGTTGTGATCAAAATTGCAGCTTCCAAAAGTTAGTTTGTGCTATGTTCTTGGCTTAGTGAAGAGTCATCAAACGTCAACCCATGGACCTGCGTTAAACTTCGCAATCATAACATAACAAACCTTCTCACTGTGCTTGAATTCTCTCATAACTTTGTCATACTCTTTCTTAGTCACCCTTTCTGGATAACAAGCAGCACTCTTAATAAACGCCTTCAAAGCTCTTTCTAAAAGAGCATTAACTTCTGCGTAGTCATAGTCATCGTGCCTGATGCCAAACAGCGATTGGATGTAATTCCATATTGCACGTCGGAATCGAGACGTGTCGATCTCTGTTCGTCCACCCATGGTGTAGTATGTCAAATGGTAAGCTGTTCTGAATTTGTCATCTAGGAGGTTACCCACGTCGTTGTAATATCTGAAACAGAAAACTGAATCATTATAAGGTATAATGAGCGCTTATATGCTGACCATTTTCACCTGAGCTTTAATGGCAGTTGACACTTCTTCTCACTCCACTCCACCGACCAATATAGTTTTTTGTCGGCTACGTCACATTGTCATACGAAATAAGTAAACATATTGGGTAATGGTACCATGTGAGTAGCTGAACTTTCCTAAGGGAAATTGTACACAGCGCAGTTCGACCCCTAACGCACCTGCTACTCGATGTTGCATACACACATGAATTTTGTGATAGAGGACCATTGTTTTCACTCACGTTCTGAAAATACTTTTAATACAAACTGTCGACACTGCAGTCATACCTTGAGGAACTACTATGTTTTTCATAGGTAATTAACAGGGATAAACAGAAATCGTACGCACATGACAAGCAAGTTATTATATTGACATGCATAAATGTTACGTTAACGAGAAAGTTTTCAAGACGGTGAGACAAAATTAAAAAATGGCGTCAAGTTGGTTGACACTAAACTTTCCACGCAACGCTGTCATCAGTTCATAAAAGATTATGCTCAGCACAAGTTGGGCCCTATCGACAGCGCCATAGACTTTATATCCTGGATAGAGGATGGTTACTATGCTTTCTGTCATTGTCCTAAAGACCAAGTGAGTTGCCAAAATAGCACGAAACAGCAGTCTGTGGTTGGCTGTCTTTGGTTGGACGAACGAAAGCAGTATGTTCAAGTTACACCCTCTAAGAAAAAAGTTAGTTACGAACATGTATAACAGAGAAAGTCTGTCAAGCAGGTTTACCACTAAAACAACGGTCCCCTCTAACCAATTCATGTGTGTGCAAAAGCTAGTAGCAGTTGCGTTCCCTAGTGTGCAATTTTCATTAGGGAAGTTAAGCTGCCCACATGGTACCATTAGAAATCTGTTTACTTATTTCGTATACTGAGACGTTCCCGCCAAAAACTATATGTATGAGGACGTTCATAAAGCAGAATTTGTCAAGCGTCCGCACGATTTTGCTCTTTCAAAATGAGCACAGAAATTGACTGTGACTCAACGGAAATTCTATGAAGAAGACGCATGTGTGATATGAATGCAACAAGGATAAGAGAAACGTTGGAAATAGAGTGAAAAGGCTCAGGATTTGAATATTTATCTAACGTATTACAGTATACAAGGATATACGGAGACGATCAATTTTTTTTTGAGTGTACTTTTCAGACGTTACAGTAGGTCATGTTGATAGAGCCACTTATGTCCGCTTGACCTCATGTATGGAAATGCATTATCATTTAAAATCGCGAGCTGGGCATGAATCTGCCGTCAAAAATAGTGGTTGCTATTTGAATCTACAAAGTTGACCTCCAAATGACTTCTGAGATCTATTACTCTCGACTTCGGTATAGGCTTTCCTACATTTGACAACACTGTAGGATCTCTCAACGCTGGTCTACGCACCCTGTCCAACCTTGCCCTAGCCCAACCACGGTTGGGGTTGGGTTGTCGACATGAAGCATGTCAACGGGAGAATGATGAAGAAGAAGAAAATGTACCAGAAGACAAGGTTGCCAGAAACGTGGCTATTTGTGGTTATGACGAAGGGACGCTTGAGAGAGAGGATCCCCAACCTTGTTCGAGTAGTATCGTATAAGAATAAGTCGGTGTCCCGGTAAGTACAGTCAGGTATACTTTGAAAAAGCATGCCCACAAACCATCTATGTTAAGTACAAAAAAACGCAGGAGATTTTTCTCGCTGATCATACTAGGGGAATGGAGTTTTGTGATGCCATGAAAGAAATCATTGAAAACGGTGACCAATTTCTCCTGAACATATTATTTTCGGACGATTCCAGCTTTTCTCTCCACGGACATCATAATCCCCAAAATCTTATGTATTGGACAAGGGAAAACAAACATTTAAGTTAACCACTAAGGATGCAGTATCCCCAAAAAGTTAATGTATGGAGGTATTTTAGGGGACCACAATGTTGGACCTTCTTCATTAATTATACCTTAAATTGCCCGCGTTATTTGGAACTGCATCAACATGAAATTATCCCGACTGTACCAAGCCTGGGTATCAACCTTGATGATTTTTGGTTTCAACAAGATGGCTGTCCTACTCACAACGCGAGGGAGGTTCAGGAATTTTTCGAAACAATTTTTCCCGGACGTCTAACATTTACGGTTACCCCCATGCAAAGGCTACTACCTTGGAGGAGTTGCGGCTGAAAATAATAGAAGCATGCCGTTCGGTGACTCCTAACATGCTAAAAAAAGTTTGCACAATCTTGTACAATATGTTAGATTACTGTCAAACCCAAGAAGGAGGTTTGTTCGAACATTTAATTTAATATTTTGTTTTCATTTTGATTAGAATTATTCATTTCAATTTTGATGCAACTTAGCGTTTTAATTTCTCTTGAAATTATCTTTGATTTCCACCGTTGGTGATAAAATCAAGACATCCTGAGTTATTATTACATTTTGGGGCAGCGCTGCGGTCGTAAAATGTAACAAATAAGAAGATCAATATAATCAGATGTCAATATTATCATAGCGAATCAAGTGTATCGTCATAAGGCGCCATCGAAATCAATTTCAACAGTCGAAACTCATTTAGAATCAAGCTCCTGGTTTTGCTGTTCTACCCTACAATAAAGAACTACTAACCCCTAAACTAATCAGACTATGTAGCTCGTTGAACTGTCGAATTGCTTGCAAATCCGTCCTCACTATCAACTGCATTTTTAAAGAAGAAAGACAAAGTCCCGTTGCTTAGCTTAGCCAACACAGTGTACTCCATAAATTGCAAGAATTGCAATCAAATACATAGGTCAGACAATCCAGATCTCTAAAAGGACGGATAAAATGTTATCACACAAAAGTGATCCCAGACTTCATCCTGAGAGATGTGCTCTGGCATCACATGTCAATACAACAGGACACTCGATAAACTACACAAGTATCAAAGTTCTTGATAGAGAAAAACACCTATAGAAACGTTTATTCCTGGAAATGTCCCATATGTTCATGAATAACAACTGTATGAATAAAAAGGCAGAAATGAAGCAACTTAGCGTCATTTACTCATATTTGCTAAACTGCGAAAAGTTAGATCAGTTACATATCTCTCCAAATTTTGATTCTTCACAACCATAAATGGAATCTGGTTTTTGTCTACTCCATTCCATTAACTACATCTTGATAAAATAAATTACAACGATTTTTTTATTTAGAATTTAGAATAATAATTTTATAGCAGTTCTTAAAAAATATCGAATTTTATTTTTAGTAATAAAATACTTCTCCTGGTCTGATAATTTTGTGGTAGAAAATCGTACTCTACTCTCCATCTCGTTGAAGGTCATTTTTTCTAATTTCTGTCGACCGTTTGGTGTTTTTTTTTGTCGAAGCCTTTTCCTCATCCTCTTGGGGATTTCGTCGTGGACATAACTACATTAGAGCTGAGGGGAATCGTCTGCAGGGACCATCCGAGGAGAATTTGAGTTGGACTCACGAATGTGAGGAGCAGTACCCCATTTTTGTGAACTCTCATTGTTCGAGGGTTCTACATTCCGGTTCTACTTTCGGGTTCTACCTTCAGGTTCCATATGGGACTTCCTGCTCTCGGTTGCCTACCGGTAAAAGTCAAGCACCTGCATTTTATGTTAATCTTTACCGGAAACCATTAAGCTAGCGGGGTAATACACAAATTAATTCTCTTTAGCCTGACATCCACGACTTCTCTTTATTTTTTTGTTCAATAAATGACTATGTGCCTTGTGAGTTTGTGTCTCCTTAGCTCCAGAGAACTACCAAGGTACAAAGAACCTCACCTTGAGGTCTCATATCTACCCACTAACCTTGTTTTGGCGGGATAACACTGGCGTCCACTGCTATTTTGGTTTTTGATGCATTTTGGTTAACTAGATATTTTTGATTGTTGGTTTTCTGGGGTAACTGGAGACTTTGTATTTCACTTGATACTCAGAAATTATTTTTTTTGTTATCCTGGCTAAATGGTTTATTATTATTATTATTCTATTGATTTATCATCTTGATTATAAAGATGAACTTGAATATGAAATTCAGATTACAGGTGTCTCGGAATCAGGTACGGTTGATAAACTGAGAAAACGTCTTAGATCCTTAATTCTGTTAGAAAAAAACTGCTGGTAGGGAACATAGCTTTACTATAGAGAAACCATAGGATGAATTGGCAGAATGTGAAAGAAAAGTTATCGAGTTAAGAGGTTTAATTTACCTCTTGCTCTGGAGTAGGCAAATGTGATCCAAAAATCGAAACTAAATTCGCTCATTTAATTGCTAGAATAGATAGAATTCTAGACAGTTCAGAAGCTTTAGATAAAAAAGCTGCAATTTTGCGAGAATTTTCAAATTTAATTGTAGAATATGACATCTTTGTAAAACTTTTGTAGCTCATGTAGAGGAACCTCTAGGTCCAAACTTTAAACCCAGCAATTCAATGCATTATGCAGCCGCATCAACACCACCACAAAACTGGTATAATTCAGCTGGATAATACTAATTTATTTAATCATAATATTAAGCCAGTGCTTGTGTGGAAATGGGTTTTAAAATTTTCGGGTAGTTCTGGACTAAGTTTTATAGCTTTTCTGTAAAAACTTGAGGCACTTTCTATTTCTACGGGAGTTAATAAACAAGAACTTTTTAGATGTGCTCATGAGTTCACTGATAATAGTTTACCTTGTACGCCCCCCTCCACTTCCACTTTGGCCACGCCCACCGCGTGCTCTGATTGGTGGATCAGACGGCGGTAAATTTGAACGGAGTTGATGGTATATGTTGATTGGTGGGCCGGCGGGGGGTCGGGTGCGTTGGTAATCACGTCGCAAATAAGGTTATTATAGATAGTCGTTCAGCGCAGGTGTTGTCGTAGCGATAATATGGAAGAAGTACACCGCGGGGGGCTGTCAACGATAACAGGGGTGACCTGTTGTCATGCGGTTACAATAG